GATACACACACACACTGACACAGTCGCACTCTTTCTCTCTCAGCAGAGGGTCACTGTGTGTTTGTATGGCGAAGACCTCCAGGTATAATTGGACTGTGTTTACATGTGCGTGCTTTCACGCTGGCCCAGATACGTCCCCCTGTCTGCATTATTCTTCTCTTACTCTATCCTTTCTCTTTTTTGACCTTAACATGTCTCATGTTACTTTTTGTTGGCTTTTCTTTTTGATGTAACAAGGTTGTTTTTTTTTGTTTTTGTGCGTGTGTCCTTGATGTTTTCTTTAAAATCCTTTTCATATTTTTTGTTTTGTTTTGTTATTTGTTTTTTTGTCTCTCCTGTTCATCCTTGCTCTCCGCCCTTTCTCCTACCCTCAGTGGCGTTTCTGTAAATTTATGGCCATCACTTTATTATGTTTTATTCACATAGAAACAGTACAGAATACTCGTACAAAAATCTTTAATATTGTGATGTAATTATAATAAGGAAACATATCTGAAACACACACCATTTCAATGTTACATATAACAATAACTTACCTAATGAATTTTGCTCATTAACTGATTCTGTTGACAGGGTGAGCAGTCCTGCCAAAAGTAAACTATTTCCTAATTATTTCAAGAAGTGCACTGCATGACTATGTCGGCAAGACACTGAAATGTTAACATTACTTTTTCTGTTTCTTCCTACATCACTATTTCTCAGGCTCAGAAAATAACATTTACACATGTGAGGTGGCCTTAGATTCATTTTGGTTTAGCTCAGCTTTTTTATTCTTATTTTTATTTTTTAGAATTATCATTTTGAAGTTGCTTCTTTACAGTGTAACTAAAGACACGGAATATAAGAAAATCTAGTTCAGACAGCATGGAAACCACAAACAGAACCAAAGGCAGTGACTATGTGGACATTCATCAGCAGTCTTCCAGATTTCTAGATATATTTAATTTGTGTAAAATGGTGGGATATTTTAATTAGAACTATTTTGTTATATTTTGAAACTTTTTAATATATTGTATTATTTATTTTAGTTTAGTTATTTACTATCATAGGGCAACTGTGACCACATAATTTCCTGGGATTAATAAAGAATTCTGTTTCTCATGATTCCAAAGGAACAAACCAAAGAATCGTCTTGGGTCTTCACTCACTGGACATTTTGTTAGATGCACCCGTTCAACTGCTGCTTAATGCAAATATTAAATCAGACAATCACATAATAGCAACATATTGAGTTTAGATATGTAGACATAGTTAACAAGTTCAAACCGAGCATCAGAATTGAGAAAAAGGTGATTTATGCGACTGTGACTGTGGTATGATTGTTGGTACCAGATAGGCTGGTCTGAGTATTTCACAAACTGCTCATACTGGGTTTTTCCCACAAAACCATCTCTGGGGTTTACAGAAAATGGTCTGAAAGAGATAAAAATATCCAGTGAGTGGAAGTGCTCTGATGCCTTGTTGATCTCATAGGTCAGAGGAGAACGGCTAGACTGCTTTGAGCTCATAAGGAAACAGTAACTCAAATTATCATTCTTTACAACCAAGGTATGCGGAAAAGCATCTCTGAATGCACAGCACATCCAGCACTGGAGCAGAGCAACAGCAGCAGAAGACCACATAGTGAGCCACTTCTGTCAGCTGAGAACAGGAAACTGAGGATACAGTTCAAACAGCCTCACTAAAATTGAGCAACAGAAGATTGGAAAATGCTGCTCAAATCATCTCAGATTAGTTTCTTGAACGTACCATTGAGTATTTCATTGGCCTCCATGATCACTAAAACCCCAACAGGATCCAATAGAGCAACTTTGAGATGTGTTGGAGCAGGAGACTTGCATCACGGATGTGCAGCCGACAGATTTGCAGCAACTGTGTGATGCCATCATATCAATATGAACCAAAATCTTTGAGGAATACTTCCACAATCTTCTTAAATCTGTGCCATGAAGAATTAAAGCAGTTCTGAAGGCAAAAATAGGTCCAGTACAGTCCAGTACTAGCAAAGTGCACGTTTCAAAGTGTCTGGTGAGTGTATATTACCATCTTTACTATACTGGGAAAAGCCAAATTTGGGCAAATTATGACTGACACGGTACATCGTACTAATCGGTAACAAGATTCCTCTGATAAGCTTGGAGATACGTAAACAAATTCCTTTCTTTAAGCCTTTTTGTTTAAAGCTGACACACATAAGCACACACAGACACACACACAGTGGCGTGTGGAATTAGCTACCAGATCTTTGTAGAAATCAGAGTCTAAAAGCCACTGTAGCAGATCTGTGAGGCTATTTGCACAGCACTGCTTTGATCTAAATACTAATTAGAATGCTAAAATGCTCACAGTAAGCAACTTTATTTGTGAAGCTGACAGTTTTGTCAGGCAGCTGTGACTTTTTCGAATGTTGTAGTCATCCGAAATTTACAGCGAACAAAGTGTCTCCAAGGAAAACTGAAAAAGCGTATAAGTCAATTCATATCACGATTTGTAATGATTGGAAATTACAGTATCATTAATAGAATTTGACCCATACAGCTCTGTGTTCAGCACTTATTAATCATCAAGAGTGAACTTCACTCCAGTGCCAGAGGCTCAGTGATATATGTGTTAAGTATAAAAAGAAAGCTGAAGACGAATCATTCGTATTTCAGATTTGTGGTGAGGCACAAAATCATATAAGTCGACTTACTTTATACTGAGTATATTTCCTCAATGAAGCGCATTTAAGAAAACCTTGGTAACAATATATTTAGAGCAGAGCTGCAGCAGATTCACAGCAGTTTTAAACAGAACCTTTTATCTGAAATATTATAATAAAAAAAAATGTTACAACAGGAAAACAGCTATTTTAATTAACCTACATTTTTAGACGCTAATAGCAAGGCCACTCAGACAATTAACTTTTTTAAAAGTTAAAAATGTACAATTTTCAGTTGCCTGTGGCTTCCCATTATTTACCTGACATAAACTGCCTGTCTGCCTCTAGGTTGCAACCAAGCAGCACTACACTGACTGAGCTTCTGCAGAAAGAGTAATTAATACCATCATCTAATTATGCACGATGCTTTATTGGATCAGCCTGAGGGGCTCAGCGAAAGAAAGCCTCTGCTGTAACTGGTGGTTAGGCTACTGATTGTTAGGATTGTTTGGGGTAGTTTATTGTTGGACAGTAGATCTGTTCCAAACTAGCAAGTAGCACCTTCTCAACTGACAGGGTTACTGTTAGACAGGTGGGAAATCTCTGCTATTGCACGATTAATACTGTCATTTGAAGTTATGTGTAAGCTTTAAGCAGCTGTACAGGCTTAACTCCAAGAGCAATCCAGGCCGATTATTTTACCTCTGTAAAAATCTGTTTTCCTCTATATGTTTTTCTGTTCCACAAAGAAAAATCAGCTGTGTGTACTGAGAGTCCCACAAGTAACTGTCTGTTAAGTCAGTTAAGAACTAGGATGTATTATTTATTTATTGGTTGATCTTTGGTGCAATTCTTTTTTTCACAATTATTCCATTTTTTAACACCTGCTCAGGATCACTGTAGCCTCCTCAAAGCACACACCTAGACGATCATCCACAACAGCAAAAGCGCTGAAAGGTGAAATGAATAACTTGTGCCATCTCGTTCAAGTGCAGCGTGAAGCTGGAATATGGAAAAAAAAAAATGCCCAGGCATGCACAGCTTGAGGAAAATGACAAAGAGCCCGAGGCATTGATCCAGACTCCAAACTCCCCAGATCCCAATTTGATCGAGCATCTGCGGGAAGCCGTCCCACAAGACCCAAAGGATCTGCTGCCAACATCCCAGTGCAGGACACCACAGCACACCCCAAAATCCATGCCCTTGAGGTTAGAAGCTGTTTGACCGCATTGAGGAGGACATATATTAGTCAGTTGATCATATTTTAAAACTAACGATGTCATGGAGGAACGGTCAATTATAATTACGCTGATTGTTTTGCACTTCAATCTGATGTGTTTTGCAGTATTTGGAACTAAGTAAACAGTGTTTTGCATCTTTGGAACTCTTTGATCGCTTTTTGTTGCTTTGAAAATCTTGGCACAAGAATAAAAATGAATAGAAACTAAAGACTATAAATAAATCTGCTGCCTTAAAAAATTTTTTTTTAAAAAAGCTTATTTTGCGACTCAGCAGATTAAATTAATTGATTTTGATGTTATTTTAAAGATTTATTTATTTACCTCTCCTTAATGTTATTCTTAAAAGGGAAAAAAAGGAATTTGAAATAAAAATGGTTTGCCTCGTTTCTGTAGTTCACGTCACGCATCTTATTTCTGTTTACAACAGTTGAAGATTAGTGGTCAACCAGGGTAAATGATGTGCTAAATGAGGGCAATGCAGGTTATGGCTATAAGGCTTCTCTTTTCTCTCTTTTCTTTTTTCTTCTTCTTCTTTTTTTTCGCTGGCTGTAAATTGGACCCTTGGGCCCTGCAAAACTCAGTGCATTTCTACCAGCACACCACGCGGGGCGCTGCTGCGTACTGAAAACAAGAAAGCTTAACGGAATATTCAAAGTTTACAAAGAGGTTCGCAGCTCGTCGGAGTGCGGTGGAGTGCAGGGTTTAACAGCAGTTATGGTCCCGGAAAGGGTGTCTAAGTGTAAAAAATAAGAATCAATGCTTCGGGTTTGTGACATGCGCTTGATGTACCATGAAGCGCATTTCTTTCTTTCTTTTCTTTAAAAAAAGAAAAAGAAAAAAAAAGCTGTCTGTCGGTCCATCAGTGCAGCCGCAGCACATCGCTCTCACATATCCTCACTTATCACACAGAGGAGACACTCCCGGCGGCCGGTCTCTGTGTGTGCGTGTGTGTGTAGTTTCAGAGAGTTGTCAGAGGTAAGAGAAATAGAAAAAAAGTGGGAGCACGCAGAATTCAAGAGAGAAGTTGGGAGAAAGAAGGAGAGACAGAGCGGAAAGAGAAGAGAAGAGTTGAGTGAGAGAGGGGGCGAAGAAGAGTGAGCGAGCGAGAGTGAGAGACCTCGACGGAGAGGAGGAGGAGAGAGAGAGAAAGAGAGAGAGAGAGGGGAGGAGAGCTCCGTCTCTCCCGGTGCACTTGGCAGTCTAGTTGCGGGCTGCTGTGCTGTTGCTGTCGTGGCGTGGCTGGTCGCGCCAGGCGGGGAACTTCACCACACTGGAGCCCGGAGTCCCACTCTCTCACCTGCGCAGTTCGGAGCTGCCATGGGTTTCTCAACAGGATATACTGTCCTAATTATTCTACCGGCCTTTCTGCTGCACACCAGCGGCCTTTACATCGCCAGTAGCGTTGGTGAGTGGAGTCCACTTGAGCGTGGTCAGTGTTTACGTTGTTCTCCTTATCAGATCATATCTTATCAGCTGGGCTGCGCGGGGGCTCTCGCGCGCTCACTGGAAGTGTGGAAGCTCATCGTAGCGGGGAGGCACTGTCCTGCTTCTTGCTTGTGTTTCATTTTTGCCATGCTTTTGCAGTTTTGTTGCAAATGATATTGTGGTGCGCATTTGCAACTTCTGTAGCCCGTGTCCTGCTGTGGTGCTTAAAGGGACTTTCCGAAGGTCCCTCAGCGGTGCAAGCAGTGTTGTGATTTGCCCCCCCCCCCCTGTCCAGGGTATAATTTTATCTGGGGTGTAAGAGGGCATCTGATGCACCGGTTTACTGTCGGATTTCGCAGGGAAGTAGCCTAACATTATCCGATTCGGCCGCTGTCGCATCTATCGATCTGTCACAGGACGCTGGAGTCGGATGTCAGCCTATTGATCACACTATTATCAAATCATTCCTCCAACATGGAGGATGAAGAAATGTTTACACTGTGTGTTTGGCTTTTATCGGTTTGCAAACTTTATGAATTAGATGTTATAGGTGGATACTTAAATATTAAAATAAAGAAAGAAAGAAGTGGATCTGCATCCGGGGACCATATACAAGGTGACAGCAACATACTGTTTGACTGTGTAATGGCATTGACACCATAAAGTGGCCTTGGCTCAGTGTGTGCAGGCTATGTGTTAGTGTATGAGCGCTGCGAGGTTGCACCTGTAACGTCAGTGTCACATGTCACTAAAAGAGAAAGAGCTTTCTAATCTTAGAAATCGTCATTTGATATCAGTTAAAAACGTGTGTCTTATACTTATCTGTACGAACAGTTTAAATATAATCACTTAATCATAGATATTGATGATCATGAGAACAGTGGTTACAGATGCATTTCAGTTCATATTGATAAGAAGCGGCTGGGGGGTCTGAGCCACTGGATCAATTTTGTTGTTGTTGTTTTTAATAGAGGTTTTCTGTTTATTCTCGGTTTGAGCAGGTTGTGGGTGATATAACAGCGTGATAAAGCAGCAATTAGCACCTTGATCTTGTACTGACTTTCCCGTTGATGGTGGAAGGGCAACAGAAGGTGTCAGGAGCGCAGCGTGCACTGCTGAGGCTGCCGTTTCCAAACGCAAACTGCCGAGCACGGGGGTCGCCTCTAGGTTCATGGGTGGGGCTGTGTGTGTGTGTGTGTGTGTGAAAGGTTACTGATTTCACTTTTTATTTATCACTGTGCTACCCTTACCGCAGCTTGGAATAAGGAATAAATAATTCCTTGCCAAACTTGACATTTTCCTAATCCCTTTTTTCCTCCCCCCACCTCTTTTTTTCCATTCCCATGACTCCTGATTTTCCCCACTATTTATCCCCCATTATTCACCCATGACGTACCCTCCTCTTTGTGCTGTTTTTTTTTAATTTTCTACTTCTCCCTCTTGACTGCCTCCCACATTTGTGTATTTTACCATCTTTCACCTTCTCTTGTCTCATTCCCTTCCTCCCTCCCACCCAACTTACCTGTCCTTTTCCTAGACTCCCTGCAGCACATCCTGGGGGAGTATGGACTGGTTAGGCCGATCAGTGTGGACGCAGAGGGCCGCTTCTTGTCACACGCCGTCTCGGCTGGCAGCATGGCAGGAGGGCAGTCCCGTAGGCGCCGGAGGAGGGAGGTAGGAGAAGGCAATGATGAGTGGGAAGGACCAAGAGGAGCTGTGCCCCCTCAGGAGAGGCTTTACTACAACGTCACCATCTTCGGCCGGGAGTTCCACTTACGTCTGCGCCACAATGCCAGGCTGGTTGCACCCGGAGCCAAGATGGAGTGGCATGATGACAACGACAGCATCCGGTACTCTGAGCCATTGCACGATGAATGCTTGTATGTGGGTGACATCACAGACAGGCCAGGAGCCACTGTGGCAATCAGCAATTGTGATGGCCTGGTAAGTGTGTGACCTGTGCTCTTCTCTCGTGACTGAAAAGTTGTCTGTGGACAAAATGACACAAGGAGACACAAGGGAATGGATAGAGCTGATCATAAAAGATTTGATCCTCACAAGCACTCGTGGGGTCAACCATCCTGCTCTACCTGGTGTCCTCTAAACAAGCTTCAACACTAGGTCTGCCCTGAGAAAAGCCTGAGTCATGTTTTCATCCCTCTGTCCTCTTGCCTCTTTTAGTTTAGTCATGCAAAGAGGAAAAGGAGGGATTACTGATGTTTCAAAGATAGCCTCTTTATTTATCACTACTTCAGCTATTAAAATAGCATTTAGCAGGCTTGTAATACATAGATACAGAAGGTGTGGACAAGTCGCTAACACTACAACAGCATTCAAATTTAAATAGCCACCACAAAATATTTTGGTTGCACAACAGTTGCTCAAAGAGCTCATATTGTAAATGCTTTTAATAGAGCTGATGATGAATAGAGAAAAAAGAAAGGAGACGGCAAACAGTTGGTGAATGGCTGTCAGTAAGGGAGAGAAGTGAGATATAGACGGTGTGAAAACTGTGCACAGGAACCGAAATGAGACGACGCAGAAAGATGGAGACCGGTGCTCGGGGAAGAGGTGGAATGGACAAGTGTGAAAGATATGCCTCGGGGCGGAAGAAAATAGGCAAGCAAATATGAGGAAATATGCACATGGGGGTTTGCACAGGCGCTGATGAGATTTGGGGAGGAGTTTTCCTCATTAGAAAAAAGGGTTTGTTAGTCAGCCAGATCGGCCCCCCACTGGAGCTGAGCAACAGCAACTGGATCCGTTTAGGGTTGGGGACACTAGGGACTGAGCGAGCAACTGAGAGAGCAGGCAAGGTGCCAGGACAGCATAGGCCTGACATGCCCACTTAGCTTGACACCAGCCAGTGGCAACTCACTGCTGTTGCTGCTTGCTCCAGACTGTCATTTCAGAGCCTTTTGGCAATTTCTAATAAAGATTACTGTCGCAGTGTAGCTGGTTACACATAACAGATCAGCCAGTGCTGATCATTGGTTTGTTGAGCGCACTGCTTTCTTTTATTTAAACATGCTACTTGTGTGCATGGATTTTGATTTTTTTTTTTGTCCATAGTAAGAAATGGGGAACAAAATCCCATGTTATCCACATTCAGGATGTGATAGTCAACTAGACCATGGCAGGTCCGTCTAGTGCAATTTATGGTCCCACAAATGTGTCTGTTTGCATACGTGTCTCTGTGTGGACATGGAGATGGGTTTCTGCAAACGTACTTCCTTGTAGTCCTTCAAAATACCAGTTGCATGTTGCTGGACATGGATAACCTATGTGTTGGTGGAATGCTGAGTGGTTAAAAAGTGGAGCAGAAAAGTGAAGGGAGTGATGAAAAAATCAAAAATACAGCATGAAAAGCACAGAGAGTGGCTGCAGTGGACACTTTTAAGTGTTTTGAACACTCGGTTTCAGATCTTTGCATGTTATAACGTCGCTCTTCTTCGCGGCTGGCGAACAGACCAAGAGTGGACCACAAACTGGTTGTACCACATACTTGTGACACTGCCCACATTGACAGAAAACACTCTCTGCAGGTATAGGTGGACTGCCTTTGCGCTACACCTGCATAAAACAAGCATCTCTCACTCACTTTGTCTGAAGTAAAGTTAGAGGAAAGGAAAGGAAACAGGCGACATCTGTACTAACAGTGCTGTTGTTTGGGCTCTTTGCAGTGTTCGATGTAAAATAGGATCAGCTGTATGGTGTATCAGGATAAACCGGGATATAATCAAGCAACTAAAGGGGCATGTAACCATATTCCGTACCGACGTGTGGCTGCTAACATGAGATAAACCACAGCTACTGCTGCTAGCACTGCTATAGTGAGTTAGCACGTTTCAGTAACATTTTAAACATGATCTGATTCACGAGGAACATCTTTAATCGTATATATATATCTATATATCCTAAATACAAACACACAGGTTCCTTTAGTGTGCAACTACCTCCATTTAAAGTTTGCTCAGTCTGACAGTTTTCTGTCTTTTAGACTAGTCAACTAGTCACATTTTTTTCTATTGTTTAAACGACTAATAAATTAGTCACTAGAAAAATCCCTAATCTGCATGGATGAATTCCTGAACACTCCACTGGTATTATAAACAGTAGTAACTCACAGGGACGTCATCATACCAGAAATTTAGTCGTTGGTACAGATACCAGAAGAAGTACACAATTCTGAATATCCAGTTTCACACCAATTTACTAATTTTGGTGATTTTAGATGAACACTAATTTGATTATTCATCTTACATCACCGACATTGTGGTGGCAGACTGCTTATTCGACAGCTTAACGTTACATTTTGTTAACAGGACACAGACAGAAATGCTGGGATTGTTGCTGAGTAGCCCGCTAACGTTAAACCAACCTTATTTCATTACATTAGTTTAAGCCTTTATATCTAATTATCCTGTATGAACATCTTTTCTAATGTCTATTTCAGGGTAACAATGCAAAATACTTACATAGCTGACTCTTACTGCCTTTTCTTACCAGTGAGTCGGAGCATCAGCACTAGTCACCATCTTCCTCGTGCAGTTTCTGCTGTGCCATGTGTACTTTTTCCTGTGCTTGTGGGCATCCTTCTTCTTCTTCAGCATGTAAGGAAAGACTAGAGCATTTGTGTGCTGCCCCTCACGTCTGTGTGGACTTTTTAGGTATTAAACCAGCCCAAGAACTTTCTCTTATCATAATCAAGTGATATGAGAGACTCAGCATAATCATAAATAAGTTGAATAATATTTTTTGTCACCAAAAGTGGATATTATATTGCAGTATTTCATACGCATTGCCTGTTATATGTTCAGTATCCACATATCTGTCTGTCAGTCTCCTCACTAAAAAATAATATCCGTCCACTTTTATGTCCTGTTGCTTTTCAGTTACACATTAACTCAAGAATGTAAGCAGTATGCATAAAATATAAAACATACATAGATGTGAAATGCACTAAAATATATTTTAGCCCTCAAGTAATGACACAAAGTGTTTTGGCGTATAAAACTAAATGAAAAGACTTCTCAAGACAGGCTTAAGAATCGTTTAAAAATCGTATCTTCTTTTGCAGTATTGATGTCAGCGTTGTAGGTATCACGTGAAAGAGTCAAAAGAAAAAGAGAAGAAAAAGCCTTTTTAATAATCACGTGAGAGCTGTCTGCTTAGATTTAATTTGTTTCTTTCTGCCCTTGAACAACTCACATCATTACTAATCAATTCTTACAACCTATCTCCCATGCCAAGAAATACAGCCAAGTTCTGCCTAGCTGTGCCCACATCCGTCTTTTTTAAAGCCAGAAGAGCCGCGCAGGACATCTTTGCCCAGCTATACCTCCGCTTTCTTTTTTTATTGACCCAGACACCTGGTTAGAGTGTCTTCTGCCCTCTGTTGTCATTCACAACCAAGAACCTTTAGCTGGCTGTGACCCAGGAGTGTGGTAAGGGAAGAGCGATTACAAAAAGGAAAAGGTAGTGTTTAAATGAAAAAATACAACTTAAACCAAAGATAACAATAATAATAATAATAACCTCTTAAATTCTTTTAAAGGCAAAAATGGGGCCGAATACCATAGATGGTGAGAACTGAGCAGTGTGTGTGTGTGTGCATGCATGCATTTGTCATTCTAAATGAAATTTAAATACAACTATGGTGCTGTAAAAACATCAAGCTTCATTTCTTTGCACAATGCTCTTTTAACTTTGAAATTCTCATTTCTCTTAAAAGAAGACCGCAGCAGGCAGGTTTCATGGGAGCCAAACTGATATATTGATATATATATATATGTGTATGCTTTTGTGTATGCTGGCTATGTAAGCGCCAGGTTATTGGTTTACCTGTTTGACTTAGAAAATGTTGTGTCTTCAAATATAATCCCTGTTAGAGGAGGAAAATCTGACAATTCAGAGAATCACAGTCTGGATTTTATCTGATTAACGTATGCAGCAGCATGAGTGGAAAACCCTCCGACTGCAGCCATGTCAGAAAGGCTTTATTCGGTATTTGAGTTTGGAGGTTCAGAAGAATTGTTCCAAGATTTTTTTTGGCTGTGCTGTTGCAAAGATAGAGGGACATATTGGGGACTGCCGCTTACTTTACATTTCAAATTTGAAGGCGAAGTGGTGCCGTGGTTGGGCGGTTGGCACTCGGAGCAGGAGGTGCATCTTCTCTCTCTGCCTATGCGGGTTTTCTCCGGGTGCTCTGGTTGCCTCAATGAGGTTAGCTGGCAATTCTAAATTGGCTGTAGTTGTGAATGGTGTGTCTATGCCTTCATAGTAGCTTTGTGATTGTCTGGCAATCTGTCCAGTGTTAGCACAGCTGGGATAGGCTTCAGCCCGCTCCGCTTTATTTGGATAAGTGGTTAAGAAAGTGATAAATGGATATTTAAGATTTTGTCATCATTATTTAACAAAAAACAAAACTCTCTCACTGTGTATGTGTGAGAGTGATTGGCCATACTTGTGGCCTTTCCTTCAGCTTTCCTGCCGTGTTTGTGACTGTGTCGGCCTGATTGTGGAAGGTCAAGGGTCAGAGGACCTCCTTTTCCCCTGCAGTTATAGGACATTGAGGATTACAAAATTATCCATTAAAACGTTCTCGCCTTGAGATTCTGAGGACTGGCACAGGGTAGCTTTGTAAACTGTCAGCCAGAGATGCAGTAATTTCCACTTGGGAGGCTTGTACATCATATAAATTAATTTTTCTTTCCTAGTAATGCTTTTCTTTAAGTTTTTATAAAATTCTGCTCTCGATGAGCTCCGCTTATGAGACCAAATAATCAAAGCGAGCGCTCTATGCACACTATTAAGTTTGAAGTGGCCCTGTCTTTCAAGTGGCCACACAGGCTGAAATGGTCAAGGATTACACTGCAGCAGTTCATTCTAAACTTTAAAGTTTGGCACGCATAAATGCGAACACACAACAACTAAAGAGAAAG